CAGGAGACTTGCTTGAGCCCAGGAGTTGGAGGTTGCTGTGAGCTGTGATGCCACAGCACTCTACCCAGGGGGTATAGCTTGAGGCTCTGTCTCAAAAAAAAAGATTTCTAACAAGCAATGAACATATTTTTTTTTTTTTTTTGAGACAGAATCTCACTACGTTGCCCTTGCTAGACTGCTGTGGTGTCACAACTCACAGCAACCTCAAACTCTTGGGCTTAAGAGATTCTCTTGCTTCAGCCTCCCAAGTAGCTGGGACTACAGGCACCCACCACAACACCCAGCTATTTTTTGTTATAGTTGTTACTGTTATTCGGCAGGCCCAGAACAGGTTGAACCCACCAGTCCCAATGTAAGTGGCTGGCACCCTAGCCACTGAGCTACAGGCACCAAGCCATGAACACATTATTGATAAGGAAAAATCTAGGCCACTCTAGACATTTTTGTACTGATTTTCTGTTCTATTTTGACTTTTGTTTTTGTTTTTTCTTATAGTATTCTGTCTTTTAAAACAAGATCTAAACACCAATAACAAAAACTTTAAAAAAAAAAAAAACAACCCTGGGACATAACAAAGAATACTATTCTCTAGATAAAATGATAGGGAAAGAGATTTGTTTCTCATAAAGCAAAGTCTGGAGGGAACTTAAAAGTCTCCCCCTCCCTGCAGTTTTTTGGCCAGTTTGTGCCCAGAGCCTGTTTTTCTCTTGTCTTTGACAGTTCTGATCTTCTCTACATCTGATTTATCGAGTGCTGCCATTTCTCTGCTCTTTACTTTCACAATCACACATTCAAACCTGATAAAGTTCAAGACCCTGAATACTTACAGCTCTCCCAGATTTACAGTCCTCCTGCCCCCCACCCCGGCCAGCCCTCCTGAGGTTGATTAGATCCTCATGGGCAGAAGCCACCGGGATCAGCTCAGAGACAGCAGGTCCAAGAGGGTCGGCCCACGAGGACGTCAGCCCCTTGTCAGCTCTGCTCTCCACAGCCAACCTCAGTAGCTTCCTGTCCCTAGAAAGTGAGCATCAACTTCTTGTCTTACTTCCAACTTCCAGTCTATAACTTGCCTGTGGGCATGTACAGAAACTTTAGCCTGTAAAACGTAGAATTGGTGAGAATTGGGCACAAAAGCGTGGTTAAAGATGGATTTTCCTGGGCTGCTAAACAGCCTTGTGATCCAGGACAAGACACTTAACCTCTTGCTGCCTCAGTTGCTCCATCCATAAAATGGCAAAAATATTGCTTTCTAGGAACATTAATCACAAACTAATGACTGGGTCCTCCTGCCGGAGCGTTGCTCTGTCAGAGCTCAGAGACAGCAAGCGTATGTCTGATCTGGCTCTTTGCTTTCTGTCAGGTTAAATACAAACTTACATGTTAATCTAAATACTACACCAGTGGGCTAAATAAAAGGGATAATTCATCTCCAAAGGCTGAACAGTTAACTTAGACTCAAGTTTTCAAACAACTACAGTGTCTGCTGAGAAAAGATATTATCTAAATAATCTATTCTTTGTAAATACCCACTAAACTACGGAACTCTGAACAAAAGCAGTCACCAAGGACAGATGCTCAGTAGGGTTACTATACGGAGACTTCTACTTACCAAATAGGTCATTCATTTGCATGAGTGGAGTTAATGTTTATTTGTCTTGAGCTGTTAGAATTCTCTGATTAAGGTAAACATCTTAGGTAACAGCAG